CAGCCTGAAGATCAGACACCTGGAAGCACAGGCAGAAGATCCCAGTTTCATGGACACTGAGTCAAAGCAGAAGTTCTTGCCTATCAGGAATATCTGATCACTCAGAATATACAATTACAAACCCATCATACAATAACATTCTTTGTCCTCTAACTCCCTTATAAAAGCAACAAAAATCATTCTGATATCAGTAAGGAAACTGCAACAAAAACACTTTCAAATCATGCCAAGGTTAATTCATCAAGATGAGATGATAAATTTCAAACAGGAGTAATAAAAAAGATCTTAGATTACTTAATAGTCTCGCTAATAAAACATAAATCATATGAAGACATCAGAGAAATATTTAAATATCTTGCTGATTTGACAGAAAATACTGGTGGTGATGAAGATAATGTCAGTGAAGACACCCACGACACACTGGCTGATGAGAGTCATTAAGTCAGTCCCTACAATAAAAAGACAAAGAAGAGGAAAACGCCATAAAAAGCCAGAAGATGGACTAAAAGGTGTGACCCACAATGTCGCTTCCTCTTGTTCCAAGAGGGCCTCAAACTCAACTCTTGGTGTCCGGATAAAGAGAAAATGTATTCAGACTCAATCTTGAAGAAAAGATTGGACTGAATATAACTAAAATGAAATCATGCAAAGCCTGAGAATTAGGAGGTTGGCCACTTCCCCCACCACATCAACCAGAACAGAGACCCTCCTGGCCCCGAGAGCGGACCCCAGGACACTGACCATCCGAACAGGCGCCCGTCAGGCCTCGGCAGTGGTGTGCGGTTATTATAAGTTACCTCCTTAAGAGTCCAGATCAACAAAGTCCTCAACACATGTGATAGCCATGTAACTTCCACAGTTTAGGGGCTGAAACAGACAAAGAACAGCAGCTAGTTCAACAAGGCTACAGGGAAGTCGGCGTGTGTCAGAATGCTATTACTGTTTTCGTATTTAATTGACGCAATCACTTTCTACATCAGAAGAGGTTAAGGACATCCAGAGAAAACTATAGTTTCCAATATAATTTTATGCTCATATTAGTGCTATGAATTACATTATTCATGTTATTTTGATAATACGTTATACTCTTCACGTTTCAGAATTACCACAGAATAACGTCTACGTACATAATTCTCTAAAACTCAAGCTGTTAATATGCCCAACACCAAGCAACAAGGTTATATTACTAATTATTATTTATGTCACTAACACTGAGATCCTGACATACACATACAAAGACGGGGTCCCTTTTCTTATTTACATACTTATGCATTAAAAAATACTCTGAAAATACAGACCTGCGAAAGGGAGAAAATAACAGACCCCAATGTTCAGCCGAGGCTGAAACCACCAGTTTGGTTCTCTTCCACCCTGGCTGCTCCCTGTCCGCAGGGCACACACTCCGTCTCTGACCCACAGGCTGTGCGTAACACCCGCTAACGCACAAAGAGGACTCTGCTGCTGTGGCAGATGGCCGCTGACAATTCCACCTTGATGACGCAATTCTTCTTAAGGGGTTTTTACACATGTCACATATGTTCTACTTTAAGTCTTTCGCTCACCTTTACCACCGCTTGCACCTGATAGGGAATCACACCCAATGTAACACCGATGACCAGTTAGTCAGAAGCAGGTATTAAAGAAAAACAAAAAACAAAAACACAGAGGTCTCCTGGCCTAGCCACTTTTCAACCAGACAGCAATTGTTTTAAGAAGAACGAAATTACAGCAAAGCCATGCACAGCACAAACTGCTCTCCCGCAAGCTGCAGGAGGCGCTGTGGCGCCAAGTGGGCTTGGCCTGTGGAGAGAGCAGACCAGCCCTGGGGAGGCTCGGGAGCCAAAAGCATGGCGAGCTGGAGAACTGGGACACAGACCCCTTCGCCGACTCGCCTCCCTGCCGCTGTACACGCAGGGCTAAGTGGGTACCGTGCTCTGAAGCCGAGCCTAACGTGTTCCCATGCGAGGGGAACACATCTGGCCCTGTCGGGAGGGCTGGTGGGGGCGCGGGCAGGACGACTTGTAGGAGTGCTAAGGAAGCTTCTGGCAAAGCCAGTCCCCTAAAGGAGAGCCGCAAGCAGGGCCAAGCATCGGAGAGGAGCAGGATTTTGAGAGGATTCTGGAGTGTCTATCACTTGGTGACTGTTCCCAGGGTGAAGGAGCTGAGTCAAACCGAGGGCGCATCTCACGTGAATCTCCGAGAGATACAAGAGTGAAAGAGAACAAGCTCTGGGGCTGACACGGCCCGTGCGCCGCCGAGGAGGACATGCCTGAGCGCAGAACACGACCCTCACACACAGAGAACACAGCAGCCTGGGCGCGCCCCCGGCCGGCACGGAGGAGCGGCCAGAGAGGCGTGCGTCGGACCCCCTGGCTGGACATCCAAGGCAGAAACCACAAAGCAACGCATTTGTAAATCTGACTATGTAAACATTTAAAGAATTCTATGAAAGACAAACTCAGAAGCAAAATTAAAAGACAAGTGAAAAATTGAGAACAATGTCTATGTCATACACTATCAACCAAAGACTAATATCACTTCAAAATGCTCTTATAAATCAATAAGGAGATAATTATCACCACCACCAAGCCTCCCCCCTACCTCAAAAGAAAAGAAGAACAAGGATGGGTAATTCATCAAAGGAGAAATATAAATGGCAAATATGTATATTTTTAAAATGTGCAACCACATTAGAAATCAAAAGAAATGTACCTATCCTGTATTTAAAGCCTTTAGTTGTAAAGTGTACTTTATTGTAGTCCCACCATTAGTCTGCACATTTGGGCGTGTTTTGGGGCTTTTGGATTAAACTCTCAGGTCTGCTACATACTAATTGTGGGATGCTGGGTAAATTATTGAGCCTCTAACAATGTGAGAACTCTCATTTGTAAAATACAGATAACAATATTACCTACACCACAGTAATGTCAGGAGTGAATGAAATCATGCATATAAAGCACCTAGCATGTAGTAAGAATTTAGTGTTTGCTACACTAATTTTATTAGTACCTATCCTGACATATTGGGTAATAATGAGAGTATCTGACTAATTAGAAACCTGGATCATCTTACTTCTCCCAGCTTTGTTGAGTCAGTCGAAGATCACACACACACACACACACACACACACACACACACACACACACGAGATAATGGATAATTGTTATTGAAGACTGAGATACAAGTGCCAAAATGATGAAAACAATTGACAATTATTTGGGTCTTGATTTTCAAAAAGCTGCTCCAAAAGATAACTTGGCTCCAAAATAATTCTTGGGTCCATTATTTTTCTGTTAGTAGAAACACTTATGTGTGCTTTCAAATCACGAGGCAAATTATCAGGGTTAAAAGACAGATATACAACTTAAATTCAGTAATTCCTTTATCAAAAGGTACTTTTAAGTCATGAATCAAAATATTTTTATCATTTTAGAACTTATATTTTAAGTTTGATAATGTTGAAAAGGTTAATTAGAAATTTCTTTCCTTTGGGCACCTAGTAAAATGTAAATGGTAATACATTATTTTGAAATACATGTATGAGGTATATAGAGAGTTCTGTATTGAAGTGATCCACATAAAAAGTAAAATTATTTAGTCAAGTAATTGTGCTAATAGGCTTAAGATACTAATAATGATTTCCAGGGAAACATTTTACAAATATACTTCTTAACATAAAAACTCTTAGTGTAACAAGTAATTGTAGTCACAAAAGTCACCCTAAACTGCCAAACCAGAGGCAAGAAGCCTTCTGAGTCCACATCAGTAGCCCCCGCTCAGAGAACAGAGTGATCGGGGTGCAGCAAAGAGAAGGAAAACCAGGGAGGTGGGAGTTGAAAGAGAGAGTAATCTTTAAGTAACCTTGACAAATCGAACAACACGCATCAGTTTTCCATCGCAGGAAATAAGGGAGAACATCGAAAGGTGAAGGGCGAGAACTGGGTGCGGGGGCGGTGCAGGGACAGAAGGACCGACCGAGGCAGACGAACACAGAAACACAGGAAAAAAAGAAATGGTTAAAGAAGGGCAGTTAGAAGAAGAAAGACAAACAGGACATGACTCCAGACAGACAGAGGGGAGAAGAGAACGGAAATGCGCACATGGGACGTTCACGGCAAAAGCATCCGTGGGGACCACAGAGCAAAAAAAGAGACTCGGCAGACACGTTTCAGGAGTCATACACTTCGCTTGTGGCCTTTCGTCAGTGGAACCGCTGAAGGAGATGAGCCGCAGGCCTTCAGGCAGCCACGGCACCTCTCCCTGGGCCCCTAGGCCGGCGACGGTAACCTGAGGGCTGCTTCCGGCCCAGAGTCGTGGAGCTGTCCACATCCACCCTTGACAATTAAAAATATTACGATTATGCTGCACATCCTAAAAAAAGAAGGCTAGAAATAATAAATAATACATCCTCTGCAGTTTTTGACATTTCACAAAAGAAAAAGCACGAACAAGTCTCCCTTGTCCTGAGAGGCATTCCAAAACTGGCACAGACACGCTCTCATTTAAACAAAGCGGTCTTGTGACTGCAATTTTAACTTCAAATTGGAAAAAAATCTCTTTTACTTCTTGCATATAAAAACCTTACATTTTAATTGCAATAAAGTATGAATACCTTTTTAACCTGGGTTTTTAAAATATGTCACCTATTGTGGTCATGAAGAGGACATTAATGTACTTGCTTCCTTGAAAATATTTTAACATATAATACTAGAAAACACACCTTCTCCTACCTTCTTCTACTTTTAGCTAGCCTTAAGAGAACAAATCGTATTAGAGGTCTGTGGTTTCTTCTATTTATAAAACAATCCCATTTTAGTCTTACCGTGGGGTAGCACAGTGTTCAGTTCCTTTTGATTTCTCTCCTTTGAAGAAACAACCTCTGGTTAAATAACCTCTGATTACAAATCAAATCCAAGATATTGTTCAACAATGAGATGCTTTATTAAACTCGATACATGTACTATATAAGAATTCTGTGAAAAATAATGGGTATCAAATTATTTTGGATCTAGGTCCCTGCATTATAAAGTCTGTCCCTGCAAGGTGCCATCTCAGGCTGCGAACACATGGTGACCACAAAGCAGCAACATCCTTTCCTGGTGAGACAAGTCTCAGCTGACTTGCTGGTGATACCACAAGTCCTCCCAGCAAAGTAAAGAGTCCCAGTCCCCATCTCGACGTCACGTCTTCTCTAGGCAGGCGAGCGAGGCAAAGTGCCCAGACCGGCCCTACATCTGTGCCTGGCGGGAGGTCCGCACGGGATCGGCCCTGGGAGACTCATCTTCCCCTCAGCGGACACCTCTACTTGAACTACTCCGAGGTTCCCTGGAGGGCTGAAACTTCTAGAAAGAAAGAGAGTGAGAGAGAGGCAAAGGTCTGATTAGTGAAGGAATACACAAATGATCCAACTGAGGTGCACCAAAGCTGAGGGGAAGGAGAAGAGTTGGGGAAATGGGCAACTCTGCAAAGCGTTCTCGGGTGTAACAGAGCTGACCGGTGTGGCTGGGCTGGCCGTGTCGCGGGTGAAGGCCAGCCGCTCTCTTACCAGGCATGGGGGCCTCCGCCACGAGGTGCCGGTGGCTGGTAAACAGCTCGGCGGAGTCCGGTTCTACTGCCCTTTCCTCGAGGTCTGACTCCGGGATCGGAGCGCAGCCACCTGGTGGAAAAATACAGACGCTATTTTAAGCCGTGGGTTGGAAAACCTGCCCCTTCACACGGCAACCGCAGCTTACGAAAGCATAGCCATCATAAAGATAATGAATGACGTGACAACAGCCTTCAGGAGCGGCCAGGAAGAGCGATCTTAACTGCCTCTCTTTGGTGAAAATACTGGGAATGACTTATTGCCCCTAAAGACATGCTATGCTATGCCAATGATCGATCACTTAGAAACAGCAGCAATGGGGCTGTCTGTAAGCTTATCCTTTTTAAAGTTGGAAAGGACGAAACCTAGAGCCTATGTGGAATCCACACGATCGTGGCACTTCAGCAGGAACTCCCTCTAATACCAGAGCATCAGAAACAATTAAAAACAGAGCGCACGATCACGAGGGAAACGGCGCTTTCTCGAACAAAGAGGAAGGCTGCAGGCGTTCTGAGGCGGTGGCCACGGGGCATTCCTCTGGAATTTGATTCCGCCCCCGAACCCCAGCATTTGAGCGCACAGATACACACACCCCATAATTCACCAGCAAAGCCACAGCCTGCCCTGGGGAAGCTTTCAATTCCCAGCCACTTCCAAGTGACTTGAAGACGAGCTGGCACCACCGCCCTTTGGAAACAGTGGGTATAAATCACCTCATTTTATCCACCAGACCCTCACGGGGAATCTCACTGAGCATTCCCTGACCACGTCTATAGCTCGATTTGACCAATTTGCCCTCATTCCCTGGATACATACGAACATGCTGTATACTGTACGTTTTCTTTCCCAAGCCATTCTTCTTGTTAATGGAGTGTGATTTTTTTTTTCTTTTTTCCGAGGTTTCTCACACACCTAGTCCAAAGGCTCCACACTCAGGGTGGGCTTCACAGGTGAGGGGTTCATAAAGAAAGAGAGGATCGGCAGCCCTGATTTGTAAACCACACCATTCAGCCCTCTGCATCAGCTCTGACAAAAAAAAGCGGTGCCGGGGAAAACCAGGGAGAAAAGCATTTCCACACTCGCGAAGTAAGAACCAGCGGTGGCCCCAGGGGGTTCCCGACCAGGAAGCGTTAGAATCTGCCCGTGCAATGGAACCCGCCCCGCTGCGCCCAACAATGGCAGGCCCCTCCAGGAGAGCCCGGCTTTTTTAAAAATTGAATTTATTGGGGGTCACACTGGTTCACAAAACCACACCAGCTGTTACCGGGCTTATTTTTAATCTCTTTCCCAAGCCTGAAGATCGTGGTAGCAATAGCTATCTTTATTAAGTACTTTCAGAATGCTAGAAACTCTGCCCATATTATCTCATTTAGTCCCTACAAGCCACACCATGAAATAGGTATCCTTCTTCTCAAGCTACAGAAAGGAAAATTAAGCCCTCGTGCGATTTGGTGGCTCGCCGAGGTCACAGGTTCCTGTGGAGTGAGACACAACTCACACGCGGGCCGACAAGTCCTAAAGCCCATGCTACCCAACCATTCACTAAGCGGCCCCAGCTGTGGCATCAGCTAAAGAGCCCGGGGGTCAGCAGGTTTTATCCACAGAGCGGGCTGCGCGGAGCACTGCTGAGCATGTTGTGAAGGCCGCGGCGTCTCCGAGGGGCAGGGGCCTTTGGAGGAGCCCAGGAAACAGCAGCCCTCTTCTCCTCCCGGACCCTCGTCAACTGATGATAACGAACAAGAGTCAATGGGAGCAGGGTAGATATCTGTCTGTAAGGCAAATGGCAGAGAGGAGCCGAAAGAATGAGCTTCCTGTGGAACAGAATCCTGATCCCAAGAAAAAAGGCCGAACAATGGTTTGGTTTCTCACTGCAAATGCGCTGAGCATATTAAGCCATTTCTCCATCCCTGAGGCAGAGAAAGGCAGGGAGTGGGGCGAGGCCGGGAATATCGTACTCATGCACCTACCTTCTCACACAAGGAAGCTTCGGGGGTGGGGAGGCACTGTCGCAGCCGGCAGAAAGAGTGCAGAAACCCATAGCCGCAGGGTGTCATCCAAACACGTCACGTGTGTAGCACACGCGAGCCAGCTGGCAAATGCGAGAGCTGGGCACTTCCTGATCTGGAAATCATAGCATGTGGACCTACTGTGTGCTGGGCACTCTGCTTTGAATTCTCAATGGATTAACTCACTCAATTCTCAAACAACCCTGTAAGGAAGGGCGAGGCAGCCCCATGGTAAAGGTATTGATATTCATTTGTGAAGTAGGTCAAGGTAAAAGTCCCAAAGGTGGAAATCGGAAGGGGTAGTGCTCACCCAAGCTGACCTACCCACAGGGCCAAAGACACAGCTCTATACGAAGAAGGGGAAGGAGGAAGAGGAGGGAGAGGAGGGAAGAGGAGGGAGGAAAAGGGCCCGAAACCCTGAAAAAGCAGCCCCTCTGAAGCGGGCCAGTCTATCTCACTCACGCCCTCCCTGTCCGAAGGCTCTCCTGCCACTGACCTGCTGAGATCTAACATTGGACTCGACCCCAGGGAGTTCAGCTCCCCTGCCTCCCTGTCTACACTGTAACCTAAACACTCAAATAGCCTACCCCAGGGGCTGGCCAGGTAGTAGATATTTTTTATGCTCTGCGGGCCATCTGGTCTCTGGGACAACGCCCCCCCTCTGCCATTCTGGTGCCAAAGCAGCCACAGACAACAGGGCAACAATGGGAACGCGGGCGGCCTTAGCTGTGTCCCAGTCAAATGCTGCTCACGGCAACAGTAGGTTGACAAGTAGTCAGTCCCCTGGCCTCATTCAAGGCTCACGGAAAGCTAATTGGCGCACAATATCCTCATTCTAAAGGTTCCTAGAGACATTTACAGGGCTGGGTCATGTTATAGTAGAGTGAGGAGGAGGAGGTGGAGGAAGAAGGGTAGTATCTGTTTAAAAGCATAGCGTTTGCCCTGCTGCTACAAATGTTCTCTGTGCTTGGGCAGCGATGAACTTTTAACAATCAGTTTTACCTTTTAGAACGGTTTAGGCGTACAGAAAGACGTGCAGATAGCACAGAGGACTCCCATACAGCCTCCCCACGGCCTCCCCTACTGCTAACCTCTCGCATCAGTGGCATTTGTTACGATCAATGACCCAATATTGACACATTATATCGACGAAAGCCCATCATCTATTCGGATTCCCACGGTTTTTACCTAAGTCCCTCTCTGTTCCAGGGTCGCAGCAGGACACCACGTGATGTTAGTTGCCGCGTCTCCTTTGGCCTTTCTGGGCTGAGACAGCTTTGCAGGCTGCGCCCGTTTCTGGCGGCCGCGGTGGTCTCGCGTGCCGCTCGGGGCTATCGCAGAACGCCATTCCGCTGAAGGGTGATGTGTTTTCTCAAGGTTACACTGGGGGGATATTTAAAAGGTTTCTATTCATACATTCTCAGGGTTCCCAATAGTCTAGGGCTGTCCCCAGGTGTTCCCCGTTTCCTCTCTCAAAAGTGAAAGCCGAGGGGGCAGTGACCGGGGAGGAGGCAAACAGCGGGGCTCGGCGAGCGCTAGGGCCTTCCCGGGCGTGGCCCCCGCGGGCTCTCGCTGCAGGACAGGCAGGCTAACCCTCGCCCGCCAGTAAAACGAGGGTCTTACTGAGGCCTGTCTTGAGGAATCTGAGACCATGTACACCTACCACCGGGCTTAGCACACAGTTCATTTGACTATCTCTGCCTTGCATTACTTTCCTTGGCATAGGTACACTTTGCACACCATCGTCAGCGTTAAGTGGAACCAGCTTCACTCAGTAGATACCAAAATGGAGGCTCGGGGAGGGTGGCTGATGCCGCCCACGTCCCGGAGTTCATTCGTGGTTCTCCTGCTTCCAGCACCTTTAGAGCTCTCTCCAGAACACCTCTTTTCCCAGAAAAACCTCAGGGGATTTGCTTGTGCGAACCAGTACCTCCTTTTAAAGATACAGAAAATCCAGAGTGTTGGCAAACGAGTCTTTGGATAGATTTGAGAACCTTGATGATTTATTTTCTTGTAACAGTGACCTCTGCAATCAACTGGGCGCATGGGTACGAATGTTCCATTCCTTCAGGGAGGAAGAAACCTCTCTCCTTCCTGCACGTGTTTAAGGGGAATGAAACCAGGAGGCGGACTGAGAATCACAGATGACCGCAGACCTCGCTCCGACTTGCCAACCCAAGCATCTTCTGTTCACACGCCTCAGCTGTCCCTGGGGATTAGAAGCAGCAGAAACCTCGGGATGCACACCAGCAACGTGTTCCTCTTAATCAAGATTTACTTGATGGATAAAGTGTTTTTTGAGGTTAACATTCAGATTCTATTTCAAAGATTCCTAATTCATGTGAAGTGTGGGGAATGAGTACTTTGAAAAGAGTATTTCACTGTCTTAAATACGAAGAGCTTCCCTGAGAGACTCTGAGTTGTTACAAAATTCCCTATAAATACAGTCATTTGGAAAAGTTTTATTCTTTGCCCTCCCACCTCCTCTCTCTGCACGTGTGCCCAGACACATGCATACGGGCCTACAGACATGTATGGGAGTTTTCCTAATAATTCTCTACTCTGTTAATTTTTCTAGTTTTTTTAAAAATATATTTTATTTCTAGCTTGAGGAGATATAAACTCTAAAAAGCCAGGCATTTGGCAAAACGGGATAATGGAAGGAAGGGGAGTGGGTAGAAGACAGAGGAAGACGGAGGATGAAGAGAAAAGGAGGAGGGAAATGATTAATCATCAACATATTTTATTTCCTGTGTATACACTCCCATGTAAAATATTTGGGGTGGCTTACTGAAGGTGTAGATGATAAAACATTAAAGCGTAAAGCATGTTAGCAGTTTGAAAAATGCTAACGTTTGTCATTATGTTAGTACTTCCTAGTACAGATTAGCCAGTGCCACTAGGAAGAGCTGTGGACGGAACACAGGTAAGGAGTCACACGAGGGCCCCGGCCGAGACAAAAAGCAGGGAGCTCCGGCTGGGGGCGCGGGGGGAGGCGGCGGCGGGGAGGTGGGGCGCGCTTCCCCTGGTCAACCTTCCACTGACCTCACCTTCCAGACGGGCTGC